GACCTGATCCTTGCGGCGTCCGATTTCATGGGTCCCCCTCGGCCGCCGCGTGCTGCGGATGGGAAGGCTGTTTTTTTGGGGATGGGAAGGAATAGATCTGCTTCCACCGAGTGCTTCTAGCACTACATTCCTTGGCTGAGCTCCTGGACAGGGGCCAAGGGCCCCCCTCCCTTCCCCATCCCTCTCCCTCCCTCCAATCATTGGCCAGTGGCCTCCAGTCAGGAGATCCCAGGCTGTGAGGGAGCCCTTTGTATGGTTGTCACCGGGCCCCATCGCTGAGCCCCCTGATCCACACCCACCATTGTGAGCCCCAAGGCCTGCGTTCCGTGCACCGCTCATGGCACCCCGGACTACAGAGCGCCCCCCACAGGCCAGACCCCCAGCATTTACTTCAGTTGTTCTACCTGGACTGAAAACTGCACCTGGTGAAGGAGTGAAAGATTCCTGCAGAACATCGCTCCATCCCATGTTCCTGGACAGATACATATTCAATATATTCTGCAGATTATTCCATCTGGAGATCTGCAGAACATCGCTCTGTCCCATCTCCCTCCTGACAGATCCCTATTGATATATTCTGCAGATTATTCCATCTAGAGATCTGCAGAACATCGCTCCGTTCCATCCCCCTCCTGACAGATCCATATTGATATATTCTGCAGAGTATTCCACCACTGACCTCTCAAGAGATCTGCAGAACATCGCTCCATCCCATCCTCCTCCTGACAGATCCCTATTGATATATTCTGCAGATTTTTCCATCTAGAGATCTGCAGAACATCGCTCCGTCCCATCCCCCTCCTGACAGATCCATATTGATATATTCTGCAGGTTATTCCATCTAGAGATCTGCAGAACATCGCTCTCTCCCATCCCCCTCCTGACAGATCCATATTGATATATTCTGCAGATTATTCCACCACTGACCTCTCTAGAAATCTGCAGAACATCGCTCCGCCCCATCCCCCTCCTGACAGATCAATATTTATTTATTTTTTTATATATTCTGCAAATTATTCCATCACTGACCGCTCTAGAGATCTGCAGAACATCACTCCGTCCCATCCCCCCTCCTGACATCCGTATTGATATATTGTGCAGATTATTCCATTATTGAGATCTGCAGAACATCTCTCCATCCCATCCCCCTCCTGGCAGATCCATATTGATATATTCAGCAGATTATTTCACCACTGACCTCTCTAGAAATCTGCAGAACATCGCTCTGTAAATCCCCCTCTGACCGATCCATATTGATATATTCTGCAGATTATCCCATCTCTGACCCCTCTAAGGATCTGCAGAACATCGCTCCATCCCCTCCCCCCTCCTGACAGATTCATATTGATATATTCTGCAGATTATCCCATCACTAACCCCTCTAGGGATCTGCAGAGCATCGCTCCGCCCCATCCCCCTCCTGATGGATCCATATTGATATGTTCTGTAGATTATCCCATCTCTGACCCCTCTAGAGATCTGCAGAGCATCGCTCCGTCTCCTCCCCCTCCTGACCAATCCATATTGATATATTCTGCAGATTATCCCATCACTGACCCCTCTAGAGATCTGCAGAGCATCGCTCCGCCCCATCCCCCTCCTGATGGATCCATATGGATATATTCTGCAGATTATTCCATCTAGAGATCTGCAGAACATCGCTCTGTCCCCTCCCCCTCCTGACAGATCCATATTGATATATTCTGCAGATTATCCCATCTCTGACCCCTCTAGAGATCTGCAGAGCATCGCTCCCCCCCATCCCCCTCCTGATGGATCCATATATGATATATTCTGCAGATTATCCCATCTCTGACCCCTCTAGAGATCTGCAGAGCATCGCTCCGTCTCGCAGGGCAGGCTGTAATTGGGTCACCAGTTGCAGGTTACAAGTTGTTTGTGGTCTGGAGAATGGCATTCATTATGGTACAAAGTGTCTCCAGTTCCCGTTGAAGCAGAGAAGCCGAGTCATCGCGGAGCTGTGAAGTGGTCTTTGTTTTCTTTTCTGAGAATCTCGGAGACATAAATCTGCTTCGTAAATACGATTAGAAAAGCCTCGCCTAGAGGATCCTCCACCCAGAGTCAGTCCTCCAGCAGCGCAGAGGATTTCAGGAGCAGAGACTCTCACATACAGCGGATATAAAAAGTCTTCACGCCCCGGGTAAAATGTCCGGTTCCTGTGATGTAACAAAAATGAGACAAAGATAAATCATTTCAGAACTCTTTTCCACCTTTTAATGTGACCGATAAACTGTACAACAAACTGAAATCTTTGAGGGTGGGGGGAAGTAAAAATAAAAAACTAAAATAATCTGGTTGCATAAGTGTTCACACCCTTACATTAATCCTTTGTTGAAGCCCCTTTTGATGTGATTCTGGCACTCAGTCTTTTTGGGGAGGAGTCTATCGGCACGGCACATCCTGACTTTGCCTGCTCTTCCTTCCAAAAACGCTCAAAATCTATCAGATTGTGAGGGCATCTCCTGTGCACAGCCCTCTTCAGATCACCCCACAGATCTTCCATCGGGTTCAGGTCTGGGCTCTGGCTGGGCCATTCCAAAACCTTCATCTTCTTCTGGTGAAGCCATTCCTTTGTGGATTTGGATGGACGCTTTGGGTGGTTGTTATGCTGGAAGATGAAGTTCCTCTTCATGAAGCCTGAAGGTTTTGTGCCGATATTGACCGGTATTTGGACCTGTTCATAATTCCCTCTACATGGACTAAGGCCCCAGTTCCAGCTGAATTAAAACAGCCCCAAAGCATGATGCTGCCACCACCATGCTTCACAGTGGGTATGGTGTTCTTTTGGTGATGGGCAGTGTTGGTTTTGCACCAAACATATCTTTTGGATGTATGGCTAAAAAGTCCAACCTCGGTGTCCTCAGACCAGAACACATTTTCCTGCTTTCTTTTGGGAGACTTCAGATGTGTTTTTGCCAAATGTAGCCGGGCTTGGATGTTTTTCTTCGTAAGAAAAGGCTTCCCTCTTGTCACTCTACCCCATAGACCAGACATATGAAGAACACGGGAGATTGGTGTCACATGGACCACACAGCCAGGACTTGCCAGATGTTCTTGCAGCTCCTTTCATGTTGCGTAGGCGTCTTGGCCGCCTCCCAGACCAGTTTTCTTCTTGACTGTTCCTCCATTTTGGAGGGACGTCCAGTTCTTGGTGACGTCACTGCTGGTGATGTCACTGCTGGTGATGTCGCTGTTGGTGATGTCACTGCTGGTCATGTCACTGCTGGTGATGTCACTGTTGGTGATGTCATTGTTGGTGATGTCACTGTTGGTGATGTCACTGCTGGTCATGTCACTGTTGGTGATGTCACTACTGGTGATGTCATTGTTAGTGATGTCACTGTTAGTGATGTCATTGTTGGTGATGTCGTTGTTGGTGATGTCACTGCTGGTGATGTCACTGCTGGTCATGTCACGGTTGGTGATGTCACTGCTGGTCATGTCACTGCTGGTCATGTCACTGTTGGGGATGTCAATGTTGATGACATCACTGTCGGTGATGTCATTGTTAGTGATGTCACTGTTAGTGATGTCATTGTTGGTGATGTCGCTGTTGGTGATGTCACTGTCGGTGATGTCATTGTTGGTGATGTCACTGTTGGTGATGTCACTGTCAGTGATGTCATTGTTGATGACGTCACTGTTGGTGATGTCATTGTTAGTGATGTCAGTGCTGGTGATGTCACTGTTGGTTGGTTGCGCCATATTGTCTCCACTTGACGATGACTGCTTTCACTGTGTTCCATGGTATATCTAATGCCTTGGAAATTCTTTTGTACCCTTTTCCTGACTGATACCTTTTAACAATGACATCCCTCCGATGCTTTGGAAGCTCTGCGCGGACCATGGCTTTTGCTGTAGGATGTGACTAAGAAAATATCAGGAAAGACCGACTAGAACAGCTGAACTTTATTTGGGGTTCATCAGAGGCACTTTCAATGAAGGCAGGTGTGTACTGACTGCTATTTAACATGATTCTGAATGTGAATGCTTCATTCTGAGCACAGCGACATCCCCAGTTATAAGAGGGTGTGCACACTTATGCAACCAGATTATTTTAGTTTTTGTTTTTAATTCCCCCCTCCTAAAAGATTTCAGTTTGTTGTTCAACTGAGTTGTACAGTTTATAGGTCACATTAAAAGGTGGAAAAAGTTCTGAAATGATTTATCTTTGTCTCATTTTTTTACATCACAGAAACCTGACCAGGGGCGGACTGACCATTTTGGAACTCGGGCACTGCCCGAGGGCCCGGGGTCAGTAGGGGGCCCCATGAGATGCCCCTGGTACCTTTCATAGGCTTTTTTGGGTGTTGTTTGAGTGTGGGTGAGGACACAGGAGCCCCATGATCCCCTATTGCCCGGGGGCCCCATAAGTTGTCAGTCCGCCCCTGAACTTGAAATTTTAACAGGGGCGTGAAGACTTTTTATATCCACTGTAAGAGTCTATAGAAGTGTCTGTGATCCGGATATCATACGATTGGGTTGTCGCAGAGAATCTGTCCTGGATTTGCAGTAATAATATCTCAGACAGATCTTTGTGGATCGTTCCTATCACCCAGGAAAGGTTCGATCTCCTCTGCCTATGAAGGGGTAGGTAGCTCTCACTCTTGCAGCATTGTAGTCTGGCACTCAGGGCCCCATCTCTGGAATGTGGGTGTGCGGGGTCAACGCTGGGACACAAAAAAAATGTTTCTCACATAAAACCTAAACGCCTCCACCCCTTAGAGACCCGAGTTGCACCTCCTGTGTCCTGGAAGGCTCGGTCTCTCTACAGGTTTCATACAACTTTATTTCTGCCGAGTCTACAAATGGCGGTATGGATACTGGGATTTTTCTGTTTATTATACTAGTAATGGCGGCGATCAGCGACTTATAGCGTGACTGCGGCGGGCATTCTGACACTGGGGGGGGGACTGACTTGGTGTCACTGACATCCCCAGTGACACCAATACAGTGATCAGTGCTAATAAAAAGCACCAACACTGTGCGAATGGCACTGGGCAGGAAGGGGTTAACATGTGGGATGATCAAAGGGTTAACTGTGTGCTGTGTGTATTTTACTAGAGAGACATGCTGCTGTGCAGAGGGATACAAAGCAGCATGTCCTTGCTGGCAGAGGAGCCAGGGACAGTAAGGCAAGGGAGGAAAAGGCTAGATGATGTTGGATGTCCTCCAGCCAGGAAATGAGGCAGAGCTCCATCTGACTGGCTGCAGTTTCTAATGCACATTGTGAGAAGCTCCCAGTGTGCGGTGACATCAGAGCTAGCCTTTTCAATCCAGGAGAGGAGCCGGTACACCTGTGCAAGACTGAAGGGGAGGAGCTGGTACACCTGTGCAAGACTGAAGGGGAGGAGCCGGTACACCTGTGCAAGACTGAAGGGGAGGAGCCGGTACACCTGTACAAGACTAAAGGGGAGGAGCCGCTACACCTGTGCAAAACTGAAGGGGAGAAGCTGGTATACCTGTGCAAGACTGAAGGGGAGGAGCCAGAACACCTGTGCAAGATGAGGGGAGGATCCTGTAAACCTGTACAAGACTGAAGGGGAGGAGCTGGGACACCTGTACAATACTAAATGGGAGGAGCTGGGACACCTGTGCAGGACTGAAGAGGAGGAGCCGCTACACCTGTACAAGACTGAAGTGGAGGAGCTGGTATACCTGTGCAAGAATGAAGGGGAGGAGCCGGTACACCTGTGCAAGACTAAATGGGAGGAGCCAGTACACCTGTGCAAGACTGAAGGGGAGGAGCCGATACAAACAAAGGGAAGTCCGGAGGTCATATTTAAAGTAAAACTCCTATTTTGGGGAAAGGAATCTGTTGTAGCTATTTAAACATTGTGATAATTATTTTAGATCCTTACCTGTGCTGGTATCTCGGAGGTGGAACTCTCCATATCCTAAACCTAAAAACATGGATCCATCTTTCCTTGTATCAATGGTTCAGGCTGGTGGTGGTGGTGTCATGGTGTGGGGGAGATTTTCTTGGCACACTTTTTGGGCCCCTTAGTACCCATTGAGCATTGTTTAAATGCCACGGCCTGAGTATTGTTGCTGACCATGTCCATCCCTCTATGACTCCAGTGTCCCCATCTTCTGATGGCTCCTTCCAGCAGGATAATGCACCATGTCACAAAGCTCAGATCATCTCCAACTGGTTTCTTGAACCTGACAAAGAGGTCACTGTACTCCAATGGCGTCCACAGTCCCCAGATATCCATCCAGTAGAGCACCTTTGGGATGTGGTGCAACGGGAGATTCACATCATGGATGTGCAGCCCGACAAAATCCACAGCAAATGCGTGATGCTATCATGTCACTATGGACCAAAATCTCTGAGGAACGTTTCCAACACCTTTCTGAATCTAGGCCATGAAGAATGAAGGCAAAAGGGGGTCCAACCCAGGATTAGCAAGGTGGACCTAATAAAATCTCTGAGGAAAATTTCCACCACCTTGCTGAATCTAGGCCACAAAGAATGAAGGCAAAAGGGGGTCTAACCTGGGACTAGCAAGGTGGACCTAACAAAATCTCTGAGGAACATTTCCACCACCTTGCTGAATCTAGGCCACGAAGAATGAAGGCAAAAGGGGGTTCAACCCGGGACTAGCAAGGTAGACCTAATAAAATCTCTGAGGAACTTTTCCACCACCTTGCTGAATCTAGGCCATGAAGAATGAAGGCAAAAGGGGGTCCAACCTGGGACTAGCAAGGTGGACCTAACAAAATCTCTGAGGAACATTTCCACCACCTTGCTGCATCTAGGCCACGAAGAATGAAGGCAAAAGGGGGTCCAACCCGGGACTAGCAAGGTGGACCTAATAAAATCTATGAGGAACGTTTCCACCACCTTGCTGCATCTAGGCCACGAAGAATGAAGGCAAAAGGGGGTCCAACCCGGGACTAGCAAGGTGGACCTAATAAAAACTATGAGGAACGTTTCCAACACCTTGCTGAATCTAGGCCACGAAGAATGAAGGCAAAAAGGGGTCCAACCCGGGACTAGCAAGGTGGACCTCATAAAGTGGCCGGTGAGTGTGTGTTTACCAAAACTGGAACATCTTCTAAAATTAGATTGATAGGATAAATTCCTGATCGACTTTGTATATATTCAAACACAATGTCAGCATTCCGCAATTAGTGGGAGAAAGTCGATATTTCCTTCAGTGATAAGCTCTGTGGGTGGATGCGGGTCTCTCGGATATCCAATTCCGCCGTGCGGCATTTATGCGCTGAGATATGGGGGCTGATTCATGTGAATTCAGGATCTGCTCATTGCAGTGAACCTGATCTTATGAAATATCCTTTTTCATCATTTTTGATACAAGTTGTGACATTTCATAATGTATTCTGTTTTCTGGTAATACCGTGGAAAAGGTTATCCCGACTCTCAGCTGAGAGTCAGGCCAATCACGAGCACGCAGCTTCAGTATGGGTATTGAGATGCTCAAGGTTCTACTCCAACCCTTCTATGTCTGTGTGGGTTGTGGGTCACGTGACTTCACTGTTTGGTCTCATTCACATAGGCGGCGGTAAAAATAGATGGTCGCAGCAGAGCTTTACCGCCACTCAACTGCCCCTTAAACTGCAACGGTGGTGTTATGTGCTGCGACTTCCTATGGCGCCGTCCCAAATTGTCGATGTTCAACAACAATGCTGCACACCAACAGCTCCAGGTGTACGGAGAGTATAGAGCGGCCTCCCGATGGCCACCCCCTACTGACGCGTTTCACCCTGCCTAACAGAGCTGTCATCATGACCAAGCCCCAGTGGGCAGGATGAAATGCGTCAGGGGGCAGGGCCATTGAAATTTGGTGGAGTGGAATGGAGTGGAATTTCGGCGTTTGCTTGATGGCCTTATGGGGATGCACAAATGCTGCGATGCTTTGCGGCCACATCACCATTTTAATGAATGGCGCAGATTAAAAAATAAAAAATGTTTTCAGAAATGTCTTTGTTATATTATGAGATGGCGATTTTAGTTTACGTAAACTTTGGGGTGTCTTTATAAAAACTTTTCAGAGCTACTCGTCTTATGAATCGAATGTATGAATATTCAAATATATTTCCAATCAACAATACATAAAGGGTTGTAATTAAAAAAAAAAAAATAATAATTGTATGTACAAATTGTACGTTTGTTCTGTGTGAATGGGGGTAAAAAAATGAATGTGATGAGGTTAGTTTCTCTCCAGGTTGGATGTTATTCATTCATACAGGACAGAGTAAATGCTGCATTATGGCCACTAGATGGAGCTGATGAAATAAACACTATAATAATCAGCGCCATCTAGTGGCCTTGAAATAAAAACACTATAATAATCAGCTCCCTCTAGTGGCCCTGATGTAAACACTATAATAATCAGCTCCTAAATAAACACTATAATAATCAGCTCCATTTAGTGGCTGTGAAATAAACACTATAATAATCAGCTGCCTCTAGTGGCCGTGAAATAAACACTATAATAATCAGCTGCCTCTAGTGGCTGTGAAATAAAAACACTATAATAATCAGCTCCATCTAGTGGCCGTGAAATAAACACTATAATAATCGGCTCCGTCTAGTGGCCGTGAAGTAAACACTATAATAATCGGCTCCCTCTAGTGGCCGTGATGTAAACACTATAATAATCGGCTCCCTCTAGTGGCTGTGAAATAAAAACACTATAATAATCAGCTCCCTCTAGTCGCAGTGAAATAAACACTATAATAATCAGCTCCCTCTAGTGGCCGTGATGTAAACACTATAATAATCGGCTCCATCTAGTGGCTGTGAAATAAAAACACTATAATAATCAGCTCCATCTAGTCGCAGTGAAATAAACACTATAATAATCAGCTCCCTCTAGTGGCCGTGATGTAAACACTATAATAATCGGCTGCCTCTAGTGGCTGTGAAATAAAAACACTATAATAATCAGCTCCGTCTAGTGGCCGTGAAATAAACACTATAATAATCAGCTCCATCTAGTGGCCCTGAAATAAACACTATAATAATCAGCTCCCTCTAGTGGCCGTGAAATAAACACTATAATAATCACCTCCATCTAGTGGCCATAAGGCAGTATTATACTACTATTTTTAATGAATGAAAGACATTCGACCTGGAGAGAAATTAGCCCAATAACATTTGTTTTTTGCCCCATTTACACAGAATTACATGCAGTTTCACAGGGCAAATAGGATTTGTTTTAATAAATGCACCCCTTTATTGGTACAATGTAACAGACTAGATTTGTGTCCACCCTGTAGAGTCTGGTGTCTTGAGTAGCGGTGTCGGTACTGTACTGGCTACAGGCTGTGCTCTGCCCCAGGAATGCACAGTAAGAAGATTGTTGAACAAAAACATGACCGGTCCTCTTTAATCCTGGGAGGGATAAAAGGATTCAGATCTCCGGAGGAACCACGACTGAGACCTTCCAGCCGCCTGGGTCCTCGTCCTCAAATCTCATTAACATTCAGCGTTCCTGCGCCGAGAGGCATCGCCAAGGGAACCCAGGCAGCCGTCCCTGCACCGGGGAACGCCGCCAACTTCCACAAATCTTTCCTGCGAAGGGCCGAGTCCTGGCTGCAGAACGCAGAGAATGATCCGGGATCTTCTCCCAACAACGCGCAGCCTTCCCGCCCTCCACCTTAAAGGACTTGTCGCAATTTAATCCAAATATCTTCGGATGTTGCCAGGTTTCTCCTTCAAGATCTTTCACAAAAACCTTTCAGCTCATCTCCAAGGGGAATTCATTAATGAATATTATTATTGCAGTAATCCTGAACCCAGGCGGATTCTGCTAATGGTCACAATCGCTCAGAATTGTCATGGGCGCCGCTCATGGGGCAAAAAACAAACGTTATTAGGATAATTTATCTCCAGGTCGAATGTCTTTCATCGATGGCTAGCCACCTGAGGACAACCAATAGGAAGGTCCCTGACCGTCTTTGCACCGCATGGGCCAACTGCTTGTTTTTTCAGGGGGTGGGAAGAACATTTATACTCACCCACTCTTTCAATTGTCTTGAAAGTGGCACTCCCCCGAGGTCCAGCAGTGGACTGTTCCCATCTATGGAGTGTGCGCTGAGCGTGATGATGTCAGGAATGGTTCACTTTTTCAATCCTCCTGAAAGCGGCACTCCCATGCAGTCCAGCAGTGGACTGTTCCCGTTTATGGAGTGTGCACTGAGCATGATGTCAGGTACAGTCCACTTTTTCAATCCTCCTGAAAGCGGCACTCCCCCGCGGTCCAGCAGTGGACTGTTCCTGTCTATGGAGTGTGCGCTGAGCGTGATGATGTCAGGAACGGTTCACTTTTTCAATCTTCCTGAAAGCGGCACTCCCCCGCGGTCCAGCAGTGGACTGTTCCTGTCTATGGAGTGTGTGCTGACCGTGATGATGTCAGGAACGGTTCACTTTTTCAATCTTCCTGAAAGCGGCACTCCCCGCGGTCCAGCAGTGGACTGTTCCTGTCTATGGAGTGTGCGCTGAGGGTGATGTCAGGTACGATCCACTTTTTCAATCCTCCTGAAAGCGGCACTCCCCCGCGGTCCAGCAGTGGACTGTTCCCGTCTATGGAGTGTGCGCTGAGCGTGATGATGTCAGGAATGGTTCACTTTTTCAATCCTCCTGAAAGCGGTACTCCCCCGTGGTCCAGCAGTGGACTGTTCCCGTCTGTGGAGTGTGTGCTGAGCGTGATGATGTCAGGAACAGTGCACTTTTTAAAACTGCTGGAGCGCAGGGGTGCCAGGGAGGATCGGAAGATCAGGTGAG